CACCCCAAAAAAAAAAAAAACCAAAAACTCTCTAGGAAAGGGGGGGGGGGGGGGGGGGGGGGCAGAGAGAGACATGTCGAACACACAAGGAGCGGAGAGGAACAAATTTCCACAAAAAGAATGGGACGCAAACAAGAAAGCAGGAGAGAGAGAGAGAGAGAGAGAGAGAGAGAGAGAGAAAGGGACAAAGAGCCTCCGTGAGCGGCTGGAATGGCTCTGGTGCCCCTCTCCAGGCAACCACAACACGGCCTCGGTGTTTGGGGGACCACGACTACGACAGCTAGAGTCTTGCGCACCATCCGCCAGAACACTATGTTTAAACCACTTGGTCCGGTTCTTCGATGGTGGGTCATGTTCCGCAAAACCATCGCAACCAGCCACTCCCCCCGACGAGGACCAACGAATAACTAGAGGGTGCGCGCGTGAGCGGCAGCATCCGCCGGAGCTCTACATAAAAAAAACGAGACTCCTTCTCCTTCTCAAAACTTGCTGCTCTGCCGCCGTTGCTTCGGAGATACAACATGACAAAACAAGACCCCTCCTCCTCCTCCACCTCCTCCTCTTTCTGCTCCTGCTCCTGTTGATTCGCGAAGAAACTCAATGCCGACACCAACCAACCAACCGACCGGACCGACCGACCTTCACGAGCCCCGCGATGTCGGTGATGGTCATGTTCGGGGGCACCTCGCTGACGGGTTTGTACTTCTTGATGAGCCACTTGAACCTCTGGTCCGGCACCGGCACAATGGCCACGTTGGGGTCGATGGTGCAGAACGGGAAGTTCTCCGCAGGCACGTGCATCTTGCCGAGGATGTTGAAGAACGACGACTTGCCCACGTTCGGCACGCCGACGATGCCCACCTTGACGTTGTTGCCCGGCCGCCCGAGCATGACCTTCTTGGGGGCATCCTCCCCCTGTGGGTATATATATATGTAAGTACACGGTTGGGCGCGTTTTGTTAGAAACGTACACAGAAACACGGAAACGCTGCCCGTTCGAGATACAACCACGGCCGACGGGGATACGGTGGAAGTCTTTACAGCAGTGAGTGCGAGAAAAAAAACGGCTGGACACATACTCACTCGTCTGATCGTTTGTTCCTCGTTCTGCACGTCGTAAAACCTCGTTCATGTTTAAGCTGTGAATACCCATTCATCCTTTGGCGATCGAAGGCGACTCCCTTACCGCTTCCATTGTGTCCTTCGGGGCTCTGGAACACTAGCGGTGAAGGTAAACTGGCAGTGCCCCTCTCGCAAGGGGTGGGTCTTAGAGAAAGAAAAGCCAACAGTTCAAAAAAAAAACGAGAGATATGAGAGGGACGACTTTGCTACAACACAACCCAGTGCACACGGTACAGCAGTGCTGAAGGAGGAGAAAAACATGTTCTCAACTCTCAACGCCACGTTCGATGCTGTCGCACGAAACGATGTGTCAACTCCGGTCTTATCTGCTGTGTAGACTATGATCAAGGACAACCGAGCTAATCAATGCCGTGGCACCTCTGCACCGGCAGGTTTTTAATCGTATTTCCTGGTTATTCCGTATTGAAACCCACTTCCTTGTACAAGTACGCATCGTATTTCCTGGTTATTCCGTATTGAAACCCACTTCCTTGTACCCATAATAGCAGCACATAACAAACGAATACGTCACCAAGTTCCGGTACGTACGAACGAGATTTGCAAGTTTTGCAAGACGGGGCGCTGCTCGCGCTTCCCACCACTAGACCAACCGACACGCGTGACCATATGCGAGGCATTTGCGCGAGGCGAGGCATGGGCAAGGCAAGGGGGAGGGGGCGCGCGCAGAGTGCGAACACTGGACGTCCTGGAATTATATCTGGCGTGGCAGCGTGATCTGGTATTCGGTCCCTTTTTGTGACACATGGTATGGAATTGACTACGTACACCAAAAACTTGGACTTGACGCTGAGTACTTGTTGCGGACACCAGCAGCGAGAGCAATGCCAATGATCCAACAGCGGAAGAGGAATAGTACATGAGAGTCGCTCAGTACAATGCGTCGTCGCCCCTGCTGCTGTTGCCATCTGCCATATTTCATGTTCCGCTTTAGACGCCCGGCAGGCACGAGCAGCACAAAGGCTGATGACACCTACGCTATGGACAATAGCTCCTTGATCAACACCATGGGCTATGTGGGTCAGCACCACTAACTGCAACGGCGCAATCATTCTATAGAGTAGCAGGGCGGTATGACGTCCGAAGTGTTTGCGTGTGGGCTTGCTGCGCATCGCGGGTCTGCCAACTACTTGACAGCCTGTACGCTAGCTGCTGCGATATCCTGCTACCGCTGTTTCGTCCTTGTGGTCCAAGCGATTCCGCTGCCACCCACTCAGCACTAAACCGGTGCCTTCTAATCTGACCAAGCTTTACAAGCAGCATGCGACGTCCAGACCGCCCTCAGCCGAGCGATTTAGCCCAAGGAGCGGGGTGATTCGCCGATCGTCCCTATTCGGGTGGCCTGGGATCCGTTTAAAATATCACTCCCCTTTCGCTTCTCACCTTTCCTTTCTTCGGTGGCATCGTGTAGTTGGTTGCAGCGACTAGAGTCCTAGAATATCCGCTGGTGGTAGACTTGGTAGCGAGAGAGGGAACGGCGTGTGTCGTGCTCTCTCTTGTCTCTGCTCTGGCCTTACGCACAGTGCTGATCAGGGAACCTCCGGGGCCCCCGCAGAATCTACATCGGAACAACCTCCGGGGGTCCCGCAGAATCTGTATCAGAACAACCCCGCTTGTCGTGCAAGCACCACCGCAAGAAGCACAGCGCCTGCAACAGCAGCACAGCAACAGTAGCAGTAACAGCAACAGGACAGTGTGGTGTGCATTTATCCGGTGCACCCAGGCAGGCTGTCGCCAGATATAAGCTTCAGCAGACTTTTACGTGCCAAGACTACATCGATCACAGCAGCGCTAAATAGGTCCGACAGCACGTACGCGGCTACACAGAGAGAGCATGCCATCGAAGAAGAAGAGCGCGCCGCGCGGCGCAGGGCCTGGCGCTCGCCCTGCTGCGGCCGACCCAGGAATCGACATCGTGTTTGATAAGCCCAAGCCAAAGGCCAGAGGTCATCGCCAAAGGTCAGAAGCACAGGATTTCAGAAGCGGCATCACAACGGAAACTTGGAAACTTTGCCTTATCCTAATATTGCATGTACTGCTGATGACAACTGTACAATACTAATGCATACAACGCGTATTCACACACAGGACCTTGCGGTCCAGTACTGCTTGTACGAAGCCGCAACAAAGGAATCGAGAATAGACAAGAGGAGGTTCTACTGCCGGCTTGCAGTGGCACTGACATGCAGGAGTTAGGAGCGATGATCAAGGGCGAACGCAGGCCGCCTACATCTACTGCACGGCCTACATGTAGACGCCCTACCGGAGGGTTCCGGTACATCGCTCGAGGTCACCAGTACCTCAACAAGTATAGTATACCTGAACATTTAACCCTGCGGCAGAAACGGTCACCCCTTAATGGAGCGCTCCTTTTGCGCGAGGTTTGTTCCTTATTTCATCCGTGGGAAACGAACAGCTGTCACTTCTACGTATATGGGTTTGGTGCGAGTCTTTGTCATGTTTTTCGAGGTGCTATTTGGCCCTCACCCGAAGGACCCACCGAACGGAATGATCCCCGGCAAACGCACAGCTATTTAGCTGCGGGTCGTCCTTCGCGCCCACACTTGCCTAGTCAATGGACAGGACCTGAAACGCCGCTTTAAACACGAAACACTTGACATGTTTGCTCGTAACTCACTACACCGCGGAACTCCGAACGACCCACAGGGGAGCGGGGACGGTGATGGTGGACCGCGGCGGCGTGGAGCGGGACGGCGTGACTGTCCTGTCGTGGCAGCGCCTCCCGTCGCAGCTGGTGCAGCAGCACGCCGACCGGCTGCAGATGAAGCGGCCGCACTTCCACCCCGTCCAGCCCTCAGAACCGGTGCGTGTGCGTCGCAGAGACATGGACAGCGAACACGCTTCCTTCCCCTGAGAGTGCATATGTGGATGTATAGTACATACGTCCGGCCGAGATGACCGCCACGTCCAGTCATTCCCCACGCGGGGGTAATTTTTAACCCCTCAACCATATTTTGCCGGCCGTGGATGGATGACGTAGATACCACCGCTGGGTTGTTCCGCCACCACTCCGCCGTTCGGTGCGTGGCCTCCTCCTAGCCCGATCTGGGCCCGAAGCCAGCCCTTAGAGGAAGCCAATGGCGTCGCTCGTAGGCTGAAACACCGCTGCGGTTGGACCGACCGTCGTGCGACTGGGGTAAACCAGCCTTGAAGCGGAACCCTCAATCCTTCCCCCCAACTCAAATCAAGGAATGAAATCTTTTTCCAGCCAATAAATACCCCACCCGAAGTATTGTACATTCCGATCCCCAGAGACTACACCGACTAACACACGCAGCAAGATAGATCGAATCAACCGCCTGCCATGCATACATACCTTCCTTGCAGCGCCAAAAGATACGTCGCTCGCTGTACAATCCCTACGCGCTTGTGGACCGAACTACTCGCTCTCTCTCTCTCACACACACACACGCGCGCGCGCATTCTGTTCTCAACCGACGTCTTTTCATTTGTTAGCGTGGTCGATGCTAACGATATAAAACGCACACGGGGGTGGTGCGTGTGTTTGAGGCGCTAAGAACACGTGACACAGGGCTTTGACTGACGTCTTTTCATTGGTCAGCGCGGTTGATGCTAACAATAAAAGGCACACACGGGGTGGTCTGTTCGTGCGTGTGTTCCTGGCGTGATAACTGACGCAGGGCTTGTTCCGGTTCAGGGTGGTGCTCCCCGACCGCAAGAACAACGCCAAGGACATGGCGTTCTGCCCGACCGAGTCTTTCCACACCGCGGCGCAGGGGAAGGAGCACGCGGCCCTCCTTGCGCTGCTCAAGTTGCAGGGAGACCAGCCGCTCGAGAGAAAGCTGCCGGAGCCCTACAAGTGAGGGGGGGGGGGG